ACTGACAGGCCTGTAGTTCCCCGGATCCTTCCACCCTTTTTTGTAAATGGGGGTAACATCCGCCAGCCTCCAGTCCAGCGGAACTTCCATAGAAGGGGAAGTAGGATTTCTAGGCAATTCCAAATTTAAAATTTTAAGCACTAAGGACTACATCAGCCAAGAATGCCCATGTGGAACGAACCTTGACATATACTCAGAGGAAAAAACTAGTTCACCAAGAGCATGTTCAGATTAAGCTTTCTGGCAAACCATCAACAGCAGGCAGTATTGCATTAACAAAATATTGGATCCATGCTGATAACCATCTTGTGTCCCACAGCACATATTTAGCAATTCCACATTTAGTTCATTTGCCAAGACATTCCTTCGTGTAAGTATGGATTCAATGCAGTTGTCCTCCAAATAACCGGCACAACATCCTTCTCCCAAATTAACACTGTCATTCACATTCTCCTGCCTTTTAAATCACAGGGCTGTTTATCTATTCTGACACAGCTGTACCACTTCTGGTTTGAGAGGCAGCTTAGTCAGCAATCACGCCACATCTCACTGCTTCGCATAGCAGTGGCCTTAAGGCTGTTTCCATTCGTCGCGAACACCGCTTCTGGCTTCTTAAGTGAGGGACAGAAAAGAGAAAAAGAACATACGTTACTGTGTATTAAATGCTGCCGTGGAGGCCTTGAAGTGAAGGACATCTGAAACACCACTATACATCATGCAAGAAAATAAATCACTTGGATAGGAATGGTGCGAGGGAAACAGTAGGGAATTCAACTCAGACTGACATTAAATACAGAATTTAACAGCAAGAAAACAATTCAGATGTAAATTTACCATATTCACAGGGGGCCTTCGGAAGTAGAATGGCAGCTTTTCTGTTACATTTATGCATACCAGATCCACATCTAGAGTTGTGCAAGCGATCTACAGCAAAGAAATAGGAACAGATTATTAGATAAGCAAAAAAAACGAGTAAACAACTTTAGGTGCATTGATATTCTCCTTCATTTCTTAATGCAAGAAATTTCTCTCCAGGGTGAGTTTAGTTTTAAAACAGAGAAATACTATGCCTTGCAGGTACACCAATAAAACAGTAGGGCTACATGTGCACAACTTGAGCATTTCAGGCTTAAAACCCAAGCGTTCCCTCACTTACAGAACTACTTTTCCAATAAAATAAGGATCAACTCAAAGGCAAGACTTACTGCTTTGTTCTTATCCAACATAGGACATGCAGAAGCAATGCTGGCTTTTGGCAAAAGAACTCATCGCTCACGAAGGATGATGCCTGTTTACAAAGAGAACTGCCCAGGAACTGCCTCTTACCCCATTCACTCTCTAATTCCAGTGTAGCAACTGTTGGTTGCTTCTGGTAAAAATACTTAATCCATAAAACAAAAAGACTGAAACAGAAGCAGAACTTTAGACAGTGACCCATGCCCAGTACTGCAAGCTGATCCACAGGGCCTCACTTTCCAGGCTGGGTGAGGAACGTGCAGCCCTTCCTGAAAGTCACATCTCTGGAAGACATCTCAAGATGACACTCCAGGTCATAGTTTAGAAGCTTAGCTTTGAACTCGCACCACAATTTACAGCCTGTATTAAAAGAGGGAAGGAATGAACAAAGGGTTGAGGATCTCCACACTGACATACAGAGAAAATACAAGTGCGCATAAAAGGGAGCCCTTGATTTACATATAATCTCATGCACACAAGACATGTAGGAATTACATACGCCTAGCCCGTAAAGATGATTACACAGGGCCACCTGTAAGCAGTGATGTAACAAAGAAGATAAAATGGGCTGAAGATGTCCAAAAGGAATTTTCTATGCATAGGGGAACTCTCTGCTTTCAGAAACCTGCCAGCAGCTGCTCCAAACACACCTGGGCCAGTTGCTAGCCATTCACCCCGCCTGCACTGGCACGAAGGCGGAGGGGGCTGCAGGGAGTCCCGGGGCTGGGCTGTGGGATAGCTGTGCTCTGCCCTAACACGGGGCAGCTCTATTGCTTTGCAAACTAGTTTTCTACCAGTCTGCTCACATTAAATTTGGATGGAGATGAGTCCAGAGGCCTCGCTTTAGGAATGTTTCTTAGCTGTTGATAGCACTCCCTCCCAGACAAGCGAGCCACAGCACACATGCAGGCAATTCAAAGATTCAGCAAACCACAAGGTTTTTGATGTTAAGACATCTCTACCATGCCATCCAGACCGAACTTTATCTTCATGCCCTACCTGTACCAACTCTGTCAGCCAGGACATGGTTGGAATCTATTGTATCAAATTAGACTTGTATATACAAGTTTAACCTTACTACAGCCAGTTTTAATCTTTTTTTTTTTCTTTTTTTTTTTTTCACACGGAGTACAAACCACCATCTAGACCGAGGTGATTTAAGGGAACATGCACAGAGTAAATAGCTCTGACTCATGTCCTAGAAAAGATGTCAGCGAGTCAGCGAGGCCATAAGAAATTCAGGAAGAGAGAAAGCTGAAAATGAAGGAAAGCAAGAATACACATCAGAAACATGCAAGTTGCCCCATGTGATGAGAAAACAGGCCTTCCTAATCAGCTCCAGAAACACTGGAAAACTATTTTCCATTTTGCAAATTAAGCTCAGTGGGAAAGGGAGTGACCCAAATGCCACGACATCCACAAGATTCCAGTGACAAGAACATTTCAGAAAACACCACCAAGGAAAAACAAAATTAAGAGTCATACTTCCCCATAAGGAGGAATTCCTGCACTGCATGGAAAGTTGGAAAGAAGATTTCTCCAAACACTCTAATGTTCAGCCTAGCTTTGGCTCTTGGACAAGTCACACACGCAGGCAAGTTAAGGTTACCCTGCCTGCTGAAAGGATCTGAAGTGCAAAAACTTCATACAGAAAGTGATAGGCAGCAGTTGTACAGCCAGCTGCTCTCCCGGCCACAGCGCAGGCAAGAGCCCCATCTGCTGGGAAACTCCAGACAGACAGAAATAAAACAAATCCAACACTGCCTGGATGGCCGGAAGAAAGCTTTGGCAAACATCTTAGGAATAAACATTGAAATTTGGCTTTGCACTACATCCTCAGACATATATAAGCAATTTTCTTTAGATACTAATGATCTGCTAATTGCTTACAAACAGCAGGCAGAACTGATATGATTAAAACAGTCAGAATTCTTAAAAAGCAAAATTTTTGACAAGC